GAGGGAAAGAGGAGGGGAGGGGAAGAGGAGGGGAGGGGAAGAGGAGGGGAGGAGAAGAGGAGGGGAGGGAAGAGGAGGGAGGGAAGAGGAGGGGACGGGAAAGGAAGAGAAGGGGAAGAGAGCTCGGGTCATCGAGTTGCCTGCCACATTCTGAAGACTCCTCGAGTGCATGACCCCATCTTATGCTGGTACTGATACCTGCACCCTTGTCATCCTCCTCCCTCCTTCCTTCGCTCCCTCCCTCGCTCCCTCGCTCCCTCCTCTTCTTCTGCCCCCTCCTCTCTCCCTCCCTGCATCCACGTTTCTCTCCATCTTCTCTCCCTTCTCCTCCCTGCCCCTGCTTGTTCTATCCTTGCCCAGCAACACGTCATCCTCATAACAGCACCTCTTCCTCTTCTCGTCTTCCTCCTCCTCATCACCTTCCTCTCTCCCAGATGCCCCACAGCCCCAACTCATCGGCAAACGCGAGCAACCGAACGTGATCGTCTCCATGCCCTCCCTGAGAGATGAATGTCAGACCCTCCTCCCTCCTCGCTCCTCGCTCCTCGCTCCTCGCTCCTCGCTCCTCGCTCCTCCCACCTCTCCCCTGCTTCTTTCCTCCCCTCCACCCCTTCCCTCCCATACCATTCCCCCTCTTTTCTCCCCCCCCTTTTCCTCCTTCTCTCCTCCCTCTCTTCCCTTCCTTCGATCGCACTTCCCTGCACCTATCCCAACCGTTTCTTCTACCCTCATCTCAGCTGTTTCCTGCTCCTGCTCCTGCTCCTGCTCCTGCTCCTGCTCCTGCTCCTGCTCCTGCTCACCGCGTACGTCTTCAGCAGCTCCACATGCTCCGTCCCGGTCTGCACGCCGAGTATCTTCCCGCTCTCCTTCCCACTAGCGTACCTGATGCCATTATGAGTATTTGTACATCCATCCTCCAACCCTCCCTCCCCCTCCCCTCCCCTCCCTCCTCCTCGTCCTCGTCCTCGTCCTCGTCCTCCCTCACCCTACCACCGCTCTACCCAACGTCATCTCCTCTTCCTCCTTTCTTCCTTCTCCTCTTTCTCGTACCCCTCGTTTCCAATCTCCTCCCTCCTTTTCTCCCCAAACGTCTGCTGCTGCTGCTGCTGCTGCTTCTTCTTGATCCTGCTGCTGCTGCTGCTGCTGCTGCTGCTGCTGCTGCTGCTGCTGCTGCTGCTTCTTCTTGCTGCTGCTGCTGCTGCTGCTGCTGCTGCTGCTGCTGCTGCTGCTGCTGCTGCTGCTGCTGCTGCTGCTGCTGCTGCTGCTGCTGCTGCTGCTGCTGCTGCTGCTGCTGCTGCTGCTGCTGCTGCTGCTGCTGCTGCTCCTTCTCCTCTCCCTCCTCCTCCTCCTCTTCCTCACCGGCACTGGAACCCGGCAACTCTGTCCACCAGCTCCCCCACCGGCATCCGCTTGCTGGTAGCTGTGAACGAGTCCCCGTAGCGCGAGATGAGCGAAGGGAGTTCCTGGAGAGGAGGAGGAAGCAGAAAGTTAGACAGGTGCAAGAGGAGGAGGAAGGGGAAGGGGAAGGGGAAGGGGAAGGGGAAGGGGAAGGGGAAGGGGAAGGGGAAGGGGAAGGGGAAGGGGACGAGGGAGAGAGCAAAAGGGAAATGCAGGGGATGCGGTACAGGAGCAGAACGAGGGGAGGACGAGAAGGTAGGTAGATCAGCAGCTAGAGTAGGAAGGTAGAGGAGGAGATGAAGATAAAGAAGGACGAAGCGATGGTGGTGGTGGTGGTGGAGGAGGAGGAAGAGAAAGATCAGGAGGAGGAGGAGGAGGAGGAGGTGGAGGAAGTAGAGGAGGCAACTGGATGTGAAGGAGACCTGGGGGGTGCTGTGCCCTGCAAGCTTGATGAAATCAGTCCGAGCAGAGTCGTTGAATTTCTCCTCCTCTCTCCCTTCGTCTTCATCTAGACTGAGCAGGAGAGGTCAGGAGAAGCAAACACGCCAACAAGACATGAACAAAACGATAGGAGGGAGAGAACGGTTGAGGAGGAAGAGGATTCAGGGAGATTGAGAGGGGGAGGGGAGATCGAGAGGGGGAGGGGAGGAGGGAGAGGAAGAGGGAGAGGGAGAAGGAGGGAGGGAGAGGGAGAAGGAGGGAGGGAGAGGGAGAAGGAGGGAGGGAGAGGGAGAAGGAGGGAGGATGCTGCATGGAAGGAGAAAGGCATCAACAACTTTGACTGACCAGGTCCCGCTCATCCACTGCAGCGATCTGTTCAGCGTCGCCTCTGCGATCTTGAACGTTCCGATCTTCATGCTCGTCAGATATTCGCATCTAACAAGTGAACAACTTCACTTGGTCCTCCCCGTGCCCAACCAGCCGCCCTGATCCTGCTCCTGCTCCTGCTCCTGCTCCTGCTCCTGCTCCTGCTCCTGCTCCTGCTCCTGCTCCTGCTCCTGCTCCTGCTCCTGCTCCTGCTCCACGACCAGCCGTTGACATGATGATGGCATACGGCGCATTCATCATTCCGCTGTCCATGAAATTTCCATCATCAACTCTATCATCATCTTCTTCTCCATCATCATCATCATCATCATCATCATCATCATCATCATCTCCATCATCATCTCCATCATCTCCATCGTCATCATTGTCATCGTCATCTCCATCATCATCATCATCATCTCCATCATCAACATCATCATCATCATCATCATCCCCCTCCTCCTCATCATCATCATCTTCACCATACAATGTAAGAACACAAACATTCCTATCGCACCTGGGTGTGAACTCACAGCAGATCCACTCAACATACTTCTTGTCCTGCACGTCCGACGCTCGGCCATGTCGGAAGGGGGCATTCAGCAACGAAGCTTCACACCCTCGCACGACACGAGCAGAGTCCTCGATCCAGGCGTTCACGAGAGCTCTGCTAGCCTGAAGACACGATGAGCAGGAGACAGTGCAACAACTGGGGAAGCGAAGGAGTGAAGGATAGGAAGAGGGAAGGAGAAGGAGAAAGTAGTAGTGGAGGAGGAGGAGAGACGGAATATGATAAGGGGAATGAGAAGGAGGAGGGTGGGTGAGAGGGAAGATAGAGGAGGAGGATTGAAGAGATAGGAAGAGGGGATAGGAAGGAGAAGGTAGTAGTAAGAAGGTAGTACTGGCAGAGGAAAGAGAGAGGGAACACAACGTAGTCAGTGAGGAGGAGGGTGGCGGGGGAAGCGAAGGAGAGGGAGGAGAGAGGCGGGAGGGAGGTAGAGAAGCAGGTTGCAGACGAAGAGAAGGATAATCCTTTGGGGGTACGTTCCAAGAGTATGTCACCTATTTCTTCGTGACAAAGACTTGTCGAAAGCATATTGTGACATGCTATGTATC